ACTGAGCAGCTCTTACTGAACAGCTCTTACTGAGCAGCTCTTACTGAGCAGCTCTTACTGAACAGCTCTTACTGAGCAGCTCTTACTGAGCAGCTCAGACGATTTACTGGTTCTGTAGATCTGAAAGAAGGATATAATTTGTGGTGCTACTTAAGGAAGTCAAGAAAGACAGAAGTATGTGAGGGGAGACAAGAATGGTGGGGAGATGTGTGGTAGGTTTGGTAGATGGATTAGAGATGAGGGTGGGTCATTTTTGTGTCAAGCTTTGTTCTGTTATTTAATAGAACAAACAATGCTGAATCATGTGGAAATCTGAAGGACCATAGCACTAAGCCAAACATTTTAGTGTAACATTCAGTTTATTTATGCAATGATTTGAAATTCAATTCAGTTTTCACATTTTATTAATCCAAATTCATGTCAAGATGACATAAAACTACTTTTTTAAAAGCAATATAGTTTAAATGGGCTTAACTAGGTTTTCCGACATTAAAGTACTTTATTTGCTTCAAAATATTGGAAAGCAATATGTTTGTATATCTACAAATAATACACTCTGTGGCTCTATGTTACTGACAGCATTGTCATCCAATTAGGAGACTTGACCCAGGCTTTCAAGGCTGTCATCTTCTGGGTGGAGCAAGAGAGGCAAAACGGGAAGCTCATGAAGACCAGAGTGTCACCATCCTGCACGCCAAGGTTGCTCAGAAGTCTTATGGCAACGAGAAAAGGTCTGATAATGTATCTCTGGTATTGAAAAAAAACATTCTGCAATACAAAAAAATAACAGAAATAAAAAAATACTATAATGTGGCTAACTTGAAATACCCCCCCATTTTGTCATTGTACCTTTATCTAATGTGAAGTCACCACACACCAGAAACTCTTTGAACCTGTGGGACATGTTTCTACTTTAAATGGCAGGAAAATTTGACAAAAAAAAAAAAAACTCTGCTGTAATGCTTATTAATTTTAGATTTTCAGAAAGAAGCAGATATAAGAGCAAAAAAAGAATAAAATGTCTGCCAAACAATAATAAATAAGAGACTGTATAGTAAGGGCAGATTTACCACCTAAGAAAAAGTTCAGTACAGTTAATAAAATGTGCACAAAAGTGAACAAACTGCTTGTATATTTATATTGATGTACACTTCCACATCCCCATTAGGTTTTTCTGCCCTCCACCTTGTGTTTATATAACCGGTCATGGATGGAGAGTCATGCAGGATCATTTGAAAGGTGAAGTGACGAAAACATTTAAATTAAGATGTCAAATCATCTTCTTCACTCTAAATAATTTCCTGTCTGACTTCCTATCACCCCATTATTTCCTATTTTTTCTCTCATTACTTGTCCTGCAGCGGGAGGTTATGGGGACTCAGTTTATCGGATATGTGGTTACATGTGTCTGGACAGCTCCAGTCAGTCACAAGCAGACACATTCAAACTGCTCTTTGATGAGCAACCAAACTCAAGGGTGAGAAATATGATCCTATGTTTTGCACAAATGTGGTTTTAGAAGTCGTGTTTGTTTCAAAATACTTTTTTTCGCACCAATATTATCTGACTTCAACCATCAAAATCATTGTCTTTTTTTATTTTTTAGTTGGCTCTAGTGGCCTTTATTTGGTATTGAAAAGGATTTTCCAATAACAAAGAATTGTGTTTAGCTTCAAGAAACTTTATTTAGAAATTGAAGGGCATGCTCATGGTTTTTGTGGCCGTTTCAGACGGTAGTTTGGGAGAGACTGTGAGGATCTCCTTAATCCAGTCACCATGTTCTTAGGAAGAGCAGAGGCATTTTCATCCTGACTCTGGGACCAGTTGTCAGATCTTTATTCCTCCAGAATCACAGAGGGATTCATGGGAGTTTGGCTGTCTGGTCTACATGTGTTTAGTGAATCTGAAGAAGGTTTACAACACAGTTCCCAAGGGTCAAAGGTCATGACCTCTTGTGTGTCCTGGAGCAGTTTGCAGGAGAGTGCAAAATGGGCAAGTGTCCATTAACCCAACCCTGAAGTCACAGGTTGCTGGTTGGAGGTTAGACTCCACCTCAAATTGAGAAGTTCAACTACCTTGATGTTTTGTTCATAAGTAATAAGGTGTAGAGCAGAGTTACACAACCCCACTGTCTTGGATAGGTTTTTCCCCACACACCAAAATAGAATTAACAAGTGATAATCAAGATTCAACAGAAGGTAATGTCCTGCTGAGGAGGTATCAAAGTCATTTGAGTCAGGTAAACTTTGAGCAGGCCTAACTTTTGCTAGAGGGTTCATAAAACCCTTCTGGGGACCGTTTGGGATTCTCCAGAATGAGCTGGAGACGGCATCTGGGTGTCCAGATGGATGCATGGGTAATTACAGCAGCATACGGTTCCTTGAAAAAAAAAAACAAAGCTGTACTTCTGCTTGTGTTTTTCTGGTTTAGAGATAATTTAACATTTAATAGTTTGAGACAGAATTATCCCAGTAAGTTTTAGTTTCTGTTTTTGTTTTTGGGTTTTTTTTTTTCCGTTTTGACACTGACTGTCTTTGTTTCTGCAGCAGTTGTTTGCTTGTGCAAAGTCCCTCTTCATCTCCGACCAGGACAAGAGGAAGCATTTTTGCCTGCTGCTGCGACTTTTTTTAGGCAACAGACAGGAAGTGGGTTCCTTCCAAAGCAGGATGATCAAAGTGATCTCCAAACCTTCCCAGAAGAGACAGTCCATGAAGAATGCTGACTGTGAGTCACGCTTTTCAATCCAGGAAATCCATCTGTTTTTATTTACTTTACTTTTACAACAAAGCAAAGTAAATTCCTGACATTAGAATGATGTACAAATTGTGCAATAAACAACAAAGCATTAAGGAAGAAAGGAAGACAAGAAAATCAATATAAAGAGAAGAATTAGCTTGAATTAAAGTGATTGAATTTAGAATGTATTTTTCTGTATAAACTCACTCTTAAATACTCACGTCAGCGTAAAATTGTGAAATAAGTCATATGTTAATTTGCTTAAAAGTTTGAACCTCCTCAGTAGTTAAATCTGGATCTTTTGGTTAACCAGTGCAGTTACAAATGTACCGTTGGAGCAGTTAGCATTTTTATGGGCAATGTTTGACTTTATTTTGTGTTGCTTAACCAGTTAGCCAAATTTTACTGAAATGGTGAATGCACCAACACATACAAGTCTACTTTTTTTTTTATTGGAACAATACAAAATATATTAAGATTCATGATATGCAGACTCTTTCAAGCACGACATGAACTTTAATTGTTAAGCAGTATTTTTGGGCTCTAACAGTGCACAATCATCATTATGGTCTGTTCATTAAACATGTCAAAATGTTATTCTTACTCTTTACAAAAAGTCCCGAAGTATGAATAAGTGTAGTGTGTCTTACAGTGTGCCTTTATGTATTTCCAGTGTGTATATCCTCCTGCTCCAAAGTGGCTTTGTTCAACCGTTTACGCTCACAGACGGTCAGCACTCGTTACCTCTCAGTGGACAGAGGAGCTTTCATAGCGAGCGCCAGACAGTGGACAGCCTTCACCATCACCATGGGTAAATGTATGCAAGTGTGTGGCACTGCTGGTGTAAGTATTTTCAAAGGTTTTTGGATTCAGATGTGATCATACGTCTTGTGTTCTGCCAAAATCTCAGTGGAGTCAGATAATTATCTAACTGAAAACTAAGTTGTGACTTCAACAAGGATATATTTTATATTGAATATTGGATGTACTACAAGATATGGGCAATGCTTTAAAATTTTATGATTAGGACATGCAAAAAATTCTCAAGTTCTCATTCATAAATCTCTCTGGAATATCCAGGGTCAAATGCTATTGTCTGTTTAGCACCAGTTTGCTGTAAAACTGAGGACTGGAGACATTAATGTCCATGGAAGAAGGTTGATAAGTCAATGGATGTACTCCATAATGTACTCTAACAGTGTGTTACAGGTCCTCAGCATCACAAGTCCTCCACCATACCCAGCATTGTGCTTGAAATACTTTCCCACATCTTCAAACATGGAATGTTTGAAGATGTGAGATTTTGATATCAGGACAAAAAAATGTTTGTTTGGAGTAGTCATTTCAAACTTCTTTTCCTCAAAATTCCTCCAATGCAGTAAGACATTATGTAATTACCATCAAATGGTTGCAGACTAATTTGTTGTAGCAGTTTTCTATGTGAGATTTGAACATTGTTTTCCCACCAATACCAAACTCTTTACCATGTCTGGTGACGAGATAAACATGGGTCCTTGTCATTTTTATGCTTTTTGTATAGTTTATGTAAGGGTTGCCAATAAATGTGGATGGTGAAATTATGCATCCAAAAGTTGAACAGAAACAAAAACAAAATAAAAAAACACAAAATAATAATTGGATATGATAAAGCCCCAAAATATATATTCATCTCCACAAAAAATGGTGACTCTAATAGCAAATATCTCTTTGATAGCATCAAACTTCTACCTTCAGTTATCAGACAGTTCACCTCATAATTCAGCCACCCTGCGTTAATAAAGACACTATATGTGCAAGCAGGTATTCATCAGCATTTTCCCCTCACAAGTACGCTGGAGCCCACCTAAAGGTCAGGGAGGTTATTTGTGTAGCACAGTGCTTCGAGAGCGCAGACCTCCCACAGCCAAAACCTCAGCGTCAAGTGGTCATCCATCAGTGCGCCTCACACCATCTCCACATCACTCCTACTGTCTGTCTTCACAAAATACAGACAGTATCCATACAGTACTACTGTATGGAAATGAAAAATGTTTAATAAGAAAAGATTTATTCATGTGGTGGAAACATTTCTATGAATAGTCACACAAAGTTCTTGTATGTGTTTGTAGTGGATGACCAGCGTGCTGACCAGGGTGGGATTGTGCTGAGTGAAGGCTTCATCTGTTATGGTTCTGTGGTCCAGTTCATTTGCACTGAGTCAGGAGTTTCCCTGCCACCCATGGTAAGACATATACCCACATACAGGCACACACACGCATTCAAGCACACGTGCAAATTTAGGGCATGGACCTCAGGTTTGCTGTCATGCTTTGTTTCCTAAAAGAGAACTGTCACTTTAAATTCTGCAGTGTGAATAAGCTACATCAAAAGGTTTCTGAATTATTAAATTACCAAAATCGGATCAGTCGTATAAGAGAAACTTGGACATATTTCAACAAGCACAGCATAGGAACTCTGAGGTTATGAAAATGTTCATACGATGCAGAGTTTGGGACGAGACCTGCAGGAATAAAAGATTATTTTATGTCAGAAAAAATTGACATTTTGATGTGACATGAAGAAAACAGCTGAAGTAACCAAAATGTCAGGTGTGAGGTGGTCGTGTGCAGTGCAGTGGACATGAATAAATTCATGTTTGAGATTATAGTTTTGTCAGAAACTAATTGTTAAGGGTACAAAAATATCATTAATGTCAGCTTCATGTTGTATTAAGAAACAATATGAATGTAACATGTAATCTGAAACAGAGGTTCAGCACATTTTGGTCAGATTTTTTTTTCTTTGAATAGAAATATGCTAACATGCTAATTTTTTAAAATATCCTTATTTAGCTCAAATTTTCATCCAAAGGAACCAAGAGAAAATTTGTCCAAAGTATTATAAGTAGCAATTATGATTAATCAGTAGTTTGGGAACATTTGAAGAGAAAAATCTGACTCTGTTTTTGTCCTTTTTCTAGAATTGCACAGCATTTAAAATAGATCCTATCCCTTCATCCTAACATAATATCAACTCTGACCTTTATGTGAACATTTAGTCCATAAATGTTCACCATTTTCTCCCATCATCCAATTTATTTCATGCTTAGATAAATGTCTGAACAGAGTCCCTCATTTTTTGCTGAACAGACCTTTTTCTCACAGCCCTTGAGCTGCTGACACAACACACTCTGCTGTGGGTCTTGTGAAAGTCGGTTAAATTATACTCTCATGCTACACCTCTATATGTTATTGTAGTCGATTCCTATTACTGCACAGTTTGTTTAAAGTTAGAAAAATTTTGCCTGCTAAGTTGTTAGCATGACAAGATTGTTGGCTTTGATTCCTTTAGTGGTTTGATCCCAGATGTCTAAGGTTGGATGCATGGACCATAAAGTTCAACCAGATCAGCAGACTTAAGTATTAAAACAACATTTTTAATATATTGTGAGCTGTGGAGTCAGAGAAGTTTTAATTGTAGGCTGTTAATATTTACGATCTGGACATAAAACATGAAATTACCAAAATTAATTGACTGAAATATTTTTTATTGATTGACTGGATTGACAAGATTGATTTTGAGACTGTTATTAGATTCCTTAATAAATATTGACTTTTCATATTAATATGCATACATACATCATAACTGGTCAAAATGATCAAATCAAGCAACGTATTCACTACTTGGCAACAACATCAACAGCTACAGACGAGAAAGAACAGAGAGGGATAGATGAGACACACAGCTGCTAGAATTACAGATGGGCTGATGTGGTTTGGTAATTTCCTGGACATACTGACCAATCAAAGTGCTTTCATTTAAGAGCTACATTCATAGCAACGCAGATCGATAGACTGCTAGCTCAGCAACACATTGTCCTGCATCAAGGGAGGAAGCTGGCGCCAAGCTTATAAATTTTCAATTGCGATGCAACTATTGCTCTCAGGAAGCCACCCTGCAGAGCTCTGTAACAAACCTTTCTCTTTGCTCTTGCCGTCTGCATGTTTGTCCTCTTGATAGTCATTATTGCCAGGAAATTCAAACCATTATACAAAAGGAAATATTTCTGAACAGGCATCAATATTCCAATATTAAACCTCATTAAACAATCTGGGCCTTTTTGTGAGAAATTAGTGGATATAAAAAATGGTTTTCTTGCTTTGAAAAGAGACGTGCTCTGAGCACGTTTTTTAACTAAATGATAGCATTATGTAACCAACATGAGTGAATGGCAGCGTAAAAGGCAGCTTAACAGGCTGACTTTGTGATCATGCTTTGATTTTACTTTGCCTCAACTACAAGGATAATATGAGATGCACAGGCACTTCTCAGTTGTGCTTGTCAGAACTGTGATAAGAGCAAAAAACACTGCACTGACTTCTGTGCCTAATTCATTTACTGCAGCCTGTCTGACCAGAACAAAGGGATATTGAGTTATTTCCATTAAGCCATGCTCAAGTCTGGGGGTTTCCATGACTTAAATTGATTACATTATTGTAAGATGTCCAGAATAAAATAAGTTAGCATGCTTTCAGGTTGCATATCTCTTTTTATGAAATAGCCCAGGGTATGCAGGCCCTATCCTGCCTAACATAAGTTATAGGATGTCCCTCTGCACAGCTGTGAACTGGTGAAAGGTTTACTGCATATAAATGTTTGGCTATAACTTTAATGCACCACTAAAGTGCTAAGTGAGGCATTTTTAGTAAAATCACAGCTTGTTCCTTTAGCGTATTAAACTTGTTTTCACAGGAATTAGATTTTTCTTTTTTTCTGCAGAAATAATTTTTAAGGGTCTGAAAACATTTCTGAGCTTTGTGATCCCTTCAGGTTATCCGGAAGGTCAACAAGCAGCACGCCATCTTAGACGTGGACGAACCCGTTTCTCAGCTACACAAGTGTGCCTTTCATTTCAGAGACAATCCCAACGCTTATCTGTGCCTATTGAATGACACCATCATACAGTACCAGGTAAAGCATCACCTCACTCTATTTTCCTTTCTTTCTATGCTCTGTCTACATCATCTTTAACTTTTTCATTCTCTCAATCTCTTTATGTCAACTTGTCTTCTGCCATCTCGTCCACCTTTACTCTGATGAGGCTCCGTCCAGCATCAAAGACTCCAGCAGGGTGGTTCTAAACGATGGTTCCTGCTGGACCATCATTGGTGTGGAAGTGGTTGAATTCACCTTTAATCAGGGTTTGACCTGCATTCAGACTCCAGTTAGTCCTTTTCCTGTTATTAATGGGTTAGAGGTGAGTTTATCAGAATGTAACTTCTCGAAAAATATTGTGGAAAACAAATTTTTTAAATCAGTTTCACCTTAACTAGTTACATGTTGACACTAGAGACATCAGCATTATATATATGGCCTGATCTGCAGTTCTATTTAGCCTAATATAAAAGGGAACAAAATATCTCATATAAAGATATATTCTTCATAAATTCTGTATGTTTTTGAAGGTGAATGGTGGAGGACATGTTGCCATGCTGGAGATCCATGGAGAAAACTTCAGCCCTCACCTCAAGATGTTGTTTGGGAACACAGAAGCTGAGACGATGTTCAAGTGAGTACAGTAAGGGGAAATCCAGATCATGACAGGAGGGAGGTAAACAGAGAAACACTGGGTAAACTTTAAAATGAGGCAACTCAGTGAAGCTGGAAAGAGATATTGTTAAAAGATAAGTAATTGCAGATTAAAAAAGACATATGCAAAAAGTCATATTGGAAACAAGCAGTCATCTATTTTACATTACCATAAGTGTAAAGAAACTTTAATACAATAAGCATCACATGAAGTAGCTCAAGTCAGCTTACAGGGAGACTCCTCCACTTAACTCTTCCGTGGGAGCTTTTAATTTACAGGTTGGTTCTGCGGAACCTGGACAGCCATCCATTCTCTTACTGAATCTCACACAAGATGAAAGCAGTTCTTCTGACGCAAGAACTGACCTCAGATCCCACACCTGAAGAGCTGAGGAATCATACTTTAGGGTCTCTGGTAGAGGACAGCTCACCAGCTCACCACGGGTTTCTGCCAGAAATCCTCTCAGCAGTTCAGTCGTATCTAGGAAAGCCTTGTTTGAATAACTTCGCCTTCCATAAAGTGCTGTTTGTATGAAAAGCTGCAGCCAGACAGCAATATGACCTTTCATAACCACACAGGCCGAAAGTGTAATTTCACTTTAAATGACAGATGACTATTTCTTTGGTTTTGTGTATTTTACACCACTCTTGTTTCTTCATTTTGTCTGAAGCAAATAGAGACAATTTTAAACTTACCAGGAGACAACTTTGTGTAAGTTATGAAAGGTTTTTCAATAGTTTTGCTTTTTACTGTTTTTTTACATACATTTATCCAGTCATGACTGTATTTTATTTGTCATTTGAGCAGTAACATAACTTTAAATAGATACACCATTTTAGTCATTATGGGACGTTTAATGCCTCTATCTACTACTTGTGGATGTCTATGTTTATTCTCTTGCTTTCATTCTCATAGGTCTTACTCCTCTGTTTCTGTACTTTTCTCTCTTTAGGTCTCCCAAATCTCTGCTCTGCGTCATTCCTGATGTTTCAGTTTATAGTGACAGCTGGCGCTGCTTTCGTCGCATTATCACTCTTCCTTTGTCGCTCATCAGAACTGATGGCCTCATTTACCGTACATCCTACAGCTTCACCTACACCCCAGAGCTCCACCTGCCTGCATCCTCTCGAGGAGCAGCTGGAGGCAGAGAGGGAGGGGCAGATGGAGGCCAGGAGGATGGAGACGACATCCTGTTAGAGACAATTCACCAAGAGTTCACCAGAACTAATTTTCACCTCTTTGTGCAGAGTTAACCAGCTTGTTTACAGTCCTCAGCTGAATTTAATATTATGAAACAAAGAAACAAGGCCTACAGTCTGGTCCAGTCACATGAAATTACTCATTGTAGTCCTTTGTAGACTTCTTTGTTCTTGCAGAAATACATTTTACATGGGGGTGTCCAATGAAGGGTTTAAAGAAATAGTAATATTTGTTAACATGACTCTTTCATGACTTCTGAAGAAACCAGAGTACACAGAGAGCAACTTTACATAGAATTGCCAAGAAATCAACACAGGGCCTTGTTGGTTGGAGGCTACAGTATTTACAACCAAAGATCAGCTGAAAATTAACTGATCAAACTGCCTCTAATGAAAGGCAGATCCAACATATTGCAATTATTTGTTTTTTAGCTACAGTGGCATTTTGGTTCTTACTGGAATTGGGTAAGCAGAAAACTTGGTTACACTTGGTGAGAACATTCAGACTCTACACAAAACGGCCCCTGAGAGAACTGAACTAGAGACCCTCTAGGTGTTGGCCAAGAGCGCTGACTGTGCTACAACAGCGTTGACAGCCCGACTGACCCAAGTGTTACTTTGAGAGATTTGTGCCTCTTGCAGAGGTTCTGTTATGAAAGACAACAGTGCCATGTCACCAATGCTTCTAATGTTATTAATGCCTCTTTGATTTATCTAGCTCATATCTGATTATTACATTTTGGCTCTGGACTGCAGGTTGAGTGACTCATTATTTAGTTGTGATCTGCTTAAATCAGTTTTGTGCTTATGAAAATTATAGCTGTTGTTTGTTAGCTTTCTATCTGACTAGGCAGTGCAATAATTGGTGGAATAAAGTTTTGTCAACAACATATCTACAGTATATCGCAACTTTGTATATTTATGTAGCTATTTGTATTTGTATTATACATACATCTAGTATTATGCATTTAATCTTTGGTCACTACTAATCAGCTTCATTACTACTTTAACAGCACTTTATTCTCTTTGTGCTCCTCAATTTAATATTTGTTCCGGCATCAACTTTGACCAACCCAGAACTAAAACTTAAGACAACACACTTCAATAATCACTTTAGATTACCAACGATTGTTCAAACGCTTTCTTTGCAAACTTTGTGAACAGATAAGTCAAGCTGCTCAGGTAGCCATGTTTTAAGGATTATTTCTGTGGCTGTGCGTCTGGAATTGTCTCTGATCTTCTGCTTTGCTGCACATTAGGCAGAAATGTTGGAAGCAGAATAAAGCGATGACAGATATTTTTTGGATAACATCCCATTTGTTTCCACCGCTCCACAATATTAGCCCTTGGCAATGTTAGGTTCTCAGTCCTTTTTGTTAATCCAGTTAATCAAAGTGTCAGTTTGCAGCAAAACTCAAACACCAACAAAGCTTACTTTGCTCAGGCTTTAGGCTTTTATTCCCTAAAAAGGTATTATGATCAAGTCTGTGGTTAAGCGAGCAACTAAAAAGTCCTTTTGTTCCTTCCAGAAAAAGCATCAGAAGACCTCCCACACGGCTCTACACTTAATTCTTTTTTGCATGTCCTGGATGCTAATTGTTTTTACTGTAACACGGCATCTCAGCGGTCGATATGTTGTCCAACAATGTTCTTTCATCACACAGATCAGTTGTTACCAGACTGATTGTTATCAAAAAATGCAAGTCGTTTGATTTATTTTAAATAAAGCCTGACTTTTGTTTTCTGCCAACATAAATATCTAGTTTTACTTCATCAGAGTCACTTTCAGACTCAGTTTACTGAGTTTAGTTTTCTGTTTGTTTGTTTCTTATGAAGTGTAGTTTTGTGAACAACTAGTTTCTTACCACCAGTTAATCAGGGAGAGGTTTTATAATGGAAGCTAAAATAAGAACTTCTCAAAACAGAAACTTTTTAACAGGAAGTCTCAACAATCTAAAATAAATGAAATTCAAAACTTTGTAAGTAGTTTGGGTGAATTTTTTTATGACTGTTCACACTTTGTTACATTTGCATGAGATTCTCCTGATTATCTAGTCATTTAGTCCCTGTTGTTCTGCAGTTCTGGCAACAAAGCTCACGTCAAGGCTGACAGGGAAATTATGAATCATTATCAAGATATCAAAGAGGCTCATTTATGGTTTAAATTGCAGAAATGTTTTCTGTAATATGAAGGGTAGAAAAGAAGCTTTGTTGCATCTGGTATTACACGACACATTCTTTTTGGCTGTTTCAGCCCAATTTGAGTTTGTCCAGACAAAAGGTTATGTACAGTACCTTGGCAATCTGTACATTTTTAATAATATTTTAGAAAACATATTTTCTAAATATTTTAGAAAACATTTTCTAGAATATGTTTTTATATCTGGAAAAATATCCTGCTGCTCTTGGCAGTGCATCATTGTGACAATATGGGGCAGGACATGTTTAATGTTGGCCTGGAAATTACTACAAATGGCACAAACAGAGAAAAAAAAATTGTAACTGTTCTATTACTCAACCAGGCAAGCAAGGGCATAAAGGGACATTGACCTTCCTTTGACACCGCACATGTTGAAATTCTGAATAAATTCACAGAAAGGCATGTGTCTTTCTTCCTGCTCACATTCTTCCTTCCTCTCCTCCTCTTCCTCATTATTAGCAAGACAAACACATGTGAGAGAAAGGAGGAAGGAGACTGGTGCAAACACAAGACCATGGCGTCTCTGAACTGCTAATCTCTGTCATGTGGGAGAAACTTCAAACTAAAAGATTCACATGCCCAAAATAGTGAAGGCTCACACGAGTTTCCCTTCATGCTGGTCAATGAGAAGTAGTATGAAAGAGGCCATTCTTAGGTTCCCATCTATTGTAACACATCCACACTCCTTACATCCTTGTCTGAGTTGTGGAAAGATAAAAGCTTAATGCCTTTACTGCCCTTAAGTTTAGTGTAGACTTTCTTAACTCTTTTGTAATGACTTATTCTTGTAATAGCTTTTGAGAAAAGTAAGTTAATGATTGACAGCTTATCTTAGTTTTATGTGATATTATGGTGCTTATCTCCACTGATCAGTAGATGAGAGGTGAACAACATAAGATTGACACGCAACACATTTCAATCTGATTCAAATTGATCTTATCTAATTAAGGAGGCTTTTGAGTCTTTGAACACTGAAGGAAAGGTTAAGTTAGTGAGTTTAGTTTCAGGTTTAAGATTCAAACCAAATGGGATTCCACAACAATTTTGAACCTTGATAGAAAAGACATGTGCACGTCTGTGTGAAAGGGTACAGGAGCTGTATTATAGAGGGGCCCTTCAGTTTCAGCACTCATATCCTTCACAGTGTGGTCACGGGGCGCCAGTCCCTCAGTTTCCCTTTTGTTTATTACAGTGGAATAAAGGAGTCTACTGTCCAGCACTACTCTGCTAGGCCTCAGACGTCTACCTGCATATCAACACCTCAGCATCACTGTGATAGACAGGCAGCAATAAATCAGTCCAAAATAAAGAGGCAATGCAAAAAAGAAATACAAACGAGCAGACAAATTAAATTACATAATTATTTTAATAAAAAAAACTACCAAAGCACAAGAAGTGGCAAAACAGAAAAAGCTTTAATATTTCTCCATGGATCGTCTTTAAGAGTAAAGCAGTTCAGAAGAACAAGATAGAGGAACAGACAAAGTGTTGACATCAGATACTATTCAGTAGATAAACTTGACATCATAAAAGTGCAGCAATGTTTCCATGGAAGGTGGATCTCATCAGTGCTCTTGTTGCTTGCAGCTGTTCAGCTCTTGGTACTGACAGGATCTGTCTGTATGAGGAATCCTCTTATCAGAAGATTCACAGAAACATGAGCAGAATGATAATTGTTTCAAGCAAATGGAGCATGGGAAACATGGAAGGAATGCTAGCAGTGAATAGAGATTATACCAGGTGAGAGTGTGACTTATGTTTTGAGACAAAGTAGAATTCAGGAAAGATGGTTGGGTTGAGTAGAGTATGCATGAAGAGGAAGTAGCTAATGAATCTAACTATTTAGAGAGATTATGCAGGGACAAATGTATGTGATCTAAAACAATTCAAACCAAAACATGGCAGAGCAGCTGAAAGAAAGACAACCAAATACATTTACACCTTTTAACTTTCTAAGGTGACGCTTGTTTGCCAAAACCCAGTACACACTGTGTGATTTCAATAGCTGTTGAGGACTCAAATGTCACACTGTGCAAACTCCAAAAGACTGTGTGAGTAACATGTGTCATGTTACTCAAGTTACTCACACAGATTTAAATTTAAGACCTATTAAATCTTAAATTTGTTTAAGATTGAATAGATTCAGATCTGTAAAAAAACATATTGTGGCTACAGAAGGTCATCACTGGGATCTGACAGAGATATAGGCCAACAAGAAAGCAAATGTTGAAATGACTGCTTTTATTTTTAGATTCAGACTCCAAAAAGAGGAAGATTGGAATGAAATTATGAAACTTTCTCCACTCAGGCTAGGAAAAGGAGAACAAGGCTTTACTCATAGCGGCAATCATACTACACAAATGTTTTACTGTAAATCTTGCTAGATATATGTTGTAAATCATATTTAGTTGCTGGAGTGCTGAATCAGCTACTGTTGGGTCTGTGACCCTGAATGACCACAGAATGCTGAGTCAAACTTATGACCAATAAGTTTATAATTCTAGTTTGATGTAAAATCATTCTGCTGAAAAGATGTGACTAGTTATTTCTAGGGCCTAATTCCAAGCAACAGCTGCAGATTATTACAATTAAAAACCTTAACCTCTAAAACATGCAAAGAGGTGAAATGGTAGCGGAAAAGAAAGACATGAATGTTATATGAAGGCAATGCTTCAACTCCTACATGCTATTTGAGCTTTTTAGTGTTGTAAATCATATTTAGTCATAACTCATATGGATTATGCAAAATATAAGCAGTTTTTATGGCAGTTTCACTTAATCAGAATATGTTCTCTGCTCCACCACTTAACAGAATATGTTTGTAGAATATAAAGTTGGTTGTTTTTTTCTTATTCTCTTGCTCTGCTCTGTGTGTTTTTGTTGAAAGGCTGAACCAAAGGATATTACCCAACAGACACAGGATATTTCATGTTATTCAGAATTTCTCCACTTCTCTTTACTTAACTTCCTTTTAAAGTTTAAAATGTACCCCTAATGCAATGTTATATAATTTCAGATTGAGATGTAGTTCTGATAACAAGAGTGGACGAATAACAGCCCAGATGAGTTTTAAGGAATTAGATCAAATTCTCCTGACTCAGTGTGTGTTTGTGTTAGAGCATAATCCCCTGCTAATCCAGGATCTTTGCACATGCTGTGTCTCTGTGTTTTGTGCAACTGGTTGAATGTGCACAGAGGAAGTTGCCCTGTATTCCCAGACAGACTAGGGTCATATGTAGAGCAAGACTACAAGCTCAAAGAATTTACGAGTCTCCGCAGACACGCAGCACCTTGTATTGTGGTGTGAAAAGTATTTTACGAGAACCCAGTAAATTTTGCTCTTCCTCATTCAACAGACAGACATGTCTCAAACAGCATATGTTTTGAGGATTTTTGAGATGTGTTACCAAAACTGACAGCTCAGCAAGCAGGCTGGTTCTCTGAGTTAATGCTGATTGAGAGAAAGGAACAGGCAGGAACAGCCACTCGGACAACACAGGAGTTCAAAGTAAGTTATTGTGTACAAATATAATCAAGTTAAATCCCTATAATTTATTTCCTTCAAATTCTTTAAATTAAATCCATATGTTCTCCTTTAAACTCAGCATGATAATTTGTTAAAGTTTAAATATTCAGGTTCTCACGGTTTTATGTGTTTACCACATAGCTTCATTGAAATGTTTCCTCTAT